TTTAAGGGCTTTCGTAAGCAATTTGATCCAATTATTATGTGACGATGAAACAGTACTTTTGTCATCCAAATGATATAGGAATTAATGCTCAGTTGGGCATTAATTGGAGGGGTAGATGAAAAGGCCAATAATTACAATGGAAGGTGAGTATTTTCCACAAAAAGGAAAGTGACATTACATTCATATACCAATGACTGGTGAGCTTTGTGGGATGTGTCAAATTTGCAATTGGTACAAAGTAAGTAGATCTTCCAATTTTTAATGTTGTTAATTAGATGATGAATCTAAGAAGAAGAACAGAAGAAGAACTGTGCTACATACAGCTTTCCACAGAGGGAGCAACAACAACAACTAGCCTTAAAATTGTACAATGGACTACTTTTAGCAATAAAAATGATTCTCCGCCATCCGGTTTTAATAATGAATATCGATATGGATCAGAAGGAGAAATTAAATAAGATTCTTCATCTGGTTACGGATTGATTTGAAATCAAAATTTTCGAATTCTAGCATAGTATTTTTAGAATATTTATAGAAGATATTTGCAACGAAGAAAAAAGGAAAAAGGTACGAGTTGGATTCCTTTGTTTTATGTTATTGACTTTGTTCATGAGTGCACTGAACGGGCAAGTTTGAGCGTGCATGTATTAGCAAGTAATTTAACTTGCCAGTGCTGCAGTGAACTGAATGGTCTGGCTTTGTTCAGTTTGAATTTTAATTTTTAATATCTGAATTAGATAAGCTATTTTTGGACGGATGGATTATTAAGGGTTTTTTTTTTAATTTTCTTTTTGGTGAATATATTATATGACAACTGATATTTTCTTTTAGTAACGGCAGAATTCTTCCGGTAATTCATGTCTACTACAATAGCCTGTAAATTATTACAGGAGGTGAAACCTCCTAAAGCAAATCTAGAGTAAAAAGTTCTGGTGTAAAATCAAGAATTCATCTATTTATTTGTCATAACAAAAGCAGTTAGAGGTGCATATGGGCAGGTATAGTCAACCCTCGTTATTTGAGTATCTCATTGTGAATTCTTGAAAGTTGTGGTGTACTCGAGTTTATTCTTGATGGCTTCATCACTTCTATATCATTCTCCCACTCGCATGCACAATCCGTAGATTAACAGTCTGGGATTATATGTTTCATTTATTGGTTGTTAACCGTAACTGAAATCACATAGTGTTACAACAATGATGCATGTTCATGTATCTTTCCCATTTTATTTTATTTATATATTCTTGTTTTGAGTATATGAAACCCAAATTAGAAAGTGACAGGTGATGGAAAATCAAGTAGTTTCCCTCAAGGGAAGCTCCACTCTTGATTAATCGAGTTTTTCCTTTACAAGTACTCAGGACAATTGACTCAAACATTAGAAAGATAAATGAAAGAAATCATCTCTTTAATTTGCTTAGCTTCAATTAAGTCGAGCAACCTTTTGAGAAGAGTATATCTGAGGATATTAGCTTCATGGAAAGCTAATACGATCGTGGAGAATAGAAATAGGAGTAACTCCCCAGATATAAGAACCGATATAACTATTCCTAACCTTTATAAGTCTTCTTAAACTCCGATAGTCTGTATCGCACGAACTATTATAGTCAACGTTCCATATTGTTTTCATCATGGCAAGGTGCTCTTTCTTTTCTTTTCTTTTCCCCCCAGCATATGTATGCCCTTTTAATACAGTTTGATCATTTTACAACTAAATCGTAATTTCTTAAAATCCTTCTAATGGTCTCCTAAAAGAGTGGAACAAATGAAATGGAGCGAAGAGAAGCTATCAGAATCGATATTTGCATAAATTCTCTTTTGGAATTATATATATGGAGATTATGTCTAGGGTTTCTATAAGTTCTAGCTATTTATGTGATCGGCAATATTAATTTTTGAATCATCCGCGGTCCAAAAACTACACTCCAATAGCTCCGTGTATTTAAGTAATTTCAAAGCACAGAGGGTCATGAATTAAAGACTCAATTGCCTCAGTTTTATAATTTAGGGGCTTATTAATGTTTTTGTAAACTAGTGGGCTATAAATAATTTACAGTGGATTGCAATTTCATTATCAAATAGTTTGAGTAATTAATTGAATTTCACATATTTTATTTCCTCGGCGACTTTCCCAATTCCTTCTCCACGGAAAGCTAATTTTCTGCCATATTTCTCTCCGATTTACTAGATTTCCCCCTCGGATCTTGTCGCCGGTGCTCCGATATGTGACACGGAGTCGAAAATGTTTTGCTTTCTACGAGAGAGTTATCATCTTAATTTCAGATAAACCGAAACCATGGATTTAAAAGTATACTAACATATACACCCTCTAGTCCTTATTATAATGCATTTTGATTTCGTCTAAAGTTTCACTTACCATGTATTTTAATTGAAATAAAAACCTTAAAAAATTTCATACTAATTAGAAGAACACAACGAATATGAAAATATATTTTTAAGTCTTTTTTTCAATTAAAAAGACATTTAGATGAAACTTAGGACGAAATCAAAATGCCTTATAATAAGGACCGGAGAGAGGGAGTATGTAAAAACAAAAATAGAATATACGCATATGATTCTCTACCACATTGATTTAACCAGGAAACCGGTAAAAATCAAATTCATCGCATCCGAATATAAGCCAGAAATATTAGGGTTCCCATTATATATATATATATATATATTATTGAAATAATTTATTTTTACACGAATAATCCATATTCATGGATTCCACTCGGAATGTCTATCAAAACGTAGATTCGTTGTCCAGGAACTTAAGAATTTGGAAGCTCCCATCATCTGTGGGGTGATATTTCATCAATCTAATCGATGCAAATTAAACCAACTTGACGAATGAAACTTAGCCTCAGCAACTTTCATAGTATTGTATTCTTAGTGGAAGTTCGAATGGAATATGTTTTAAGGGAAAAAGGGAAACCTATACATTTTTTTTTATAAAACATACATTGTTGGCTAAGATGCGGTTATATTGTTCTTTGGATTTCAGCCAAACCTTTGAATATTCCTTAATTAACTGTGCATCAGTGCATGAATTCTTGTGCGCAATCTATCTATATCTAATGGTTACGTCAATCCTGAAAAACACAATCCAGGTTTTGGGAAATTCATTGTAAATTTTTGAAATGGATAAGCTAGTTAATTGGGTAACTTTTACTTTTGAGGAACTCCTTCCGTTCCGCGCGCCATTAACCACCATAGTTATTGTAGTTGAATGGCAGCGAAGAATTTTCTCAGTTAAACATAAAAACTCTACTTGATTAAAGTCAACAGATTCGAGTTTAAAAAATGAATGTTACCCATGTATCTAAGGTTTCAAAAAAAAAAAAGAAAGAAAAGATTCGAGATATTCAATAATTTTTTTTTTAATCAGATCATTGAACCTCTCTCTATATATATATTAGATGTTAAACCCGCACATCATATATATATATATATATATATATATATATATATATATATTAGATGTTAAACCCGCACGATGTGCGGGGTTTATATATATATAGATTAGGATGTCACCATCCATTATAAAAAGAAATCATCAAAGTATAGACCGAATATCATACAAAAAGTGATAAAGATGATTAAAACCAATTTTCAATCAAGAAATTTAGACATGCCCTTGTTAACCAATGCGGATTTGAAACGGCAAGTTAAACCACGTTACGGTGAATTTCCGAATCATCAATAGTTGATGTGAATATATTGTTGGAGTGGAATCTGAATCAGGCAGCAAAATATATATGCTGCTTCATGTATTGGCAATTTGTTTTACACCCCCCTATTGGGGTTCTAAAGCATTCAGTGGAAACATGACATATTCTTCTTTTGCAATTTTAAAACCAAGAAAAAAAAAACCAAGAATAAAAGTTTCTTTTACGTTTCCTGATGGGCTCTCGAACTTAACCTTATCATCACAAATCGTGAAAGATTATTTGATATCGAATTCCACACCTTTCATAATGTATATATAGTTATTATACTTTCTTGCTCGGGTAAATAGTTTAGTTGTTTCTTAGTTTCTTTGACTTTTCAACTATTTAAATATTCTCTGAGTTGCAAAATAATTGTCCATTTTAGATTTGTTAATTTTTTTAGTACGAATAGTACTAAAGATAAAAATCCAAACTGGGCAATAATTTTAGTAGAAGATAAAGATTTTATAAATTATTGTTTTATCACAGTTATTTAAATTCATGATCACTTTTGACGATTTTGTCAACAAAAGTTTAGTATTATGATCGACATGAAAAGCGAAATTGTTACTTATAAGGGGGAAAAAAACAAAATGTTAGTTGAACGTTAAAATCCAAAAGCGATCAATTCACAAAATTGATTGGGGAAGAAATATATGTTCACAAAAAACATTTATAGAAAAAGTGGCTTATGAGAATAGTTTAGAAGCCGCACAGGCATTTGACCCTGGCTCGTCTGATGCATTTTACAAAGTTGTTAATCCCTCCTGATGTTGCTCGGATCCCAGAATCAATAATTCAATCGACATTAACAATTCAAATAATTGTACCACTTAAGTTGGGCCTTTTTGGCTTTTCTAGAATTTCTTATACTACTTCGTAGTTTGTACTATATTTTATTTTGGAAGACAGACTTTTTTACATTCGTACCCAAGCATATTAGACGTTACAAAAGTCGGACATATATAAACTGCATGTTAGTGGGAGACTCATCATCAATCATTCGGCGATTGAATTATGAAGATGCTGATTTATCGGACGCAAGCTTTATAGTCGAAGATATTAAAGCTCGATTCAAGAACTATGCCGACTTCGACTCCAAATGGATCGATCGACGTTTCAATGTCTTTGCGCACGGCCTAGCTCATTTTGCAACAAACAAGAAAAGTTTTGAGAAATATTGGGACACAATTCCTAAATTTATATCTCATTCCGCGTTGGACGAATTCTCAATAAATTAATGAAATTCTTTTCTATAAAAAGAAAAAAGAAAATACCAAACTTTGTGGCTAAACAGAAAATTGACAAAGTATTACCGAGTGCAAAAAAAAAGTTCTTTCATTTTCACTTCGTTAAAACATTTCAGCTTACATAAAAAGTTACAACTCAGTTTACTCTAGATTCACGAACAAAGTAAGAACAAAAAGGATAGGAAATCAAAAGTACCAAAAAAAAAAAAAAAAGGAAGAGAAAAACTGAAATCAAAAAAGACAGAAAGGACCAAACTAGAAAATCCCTCCTTTTCTTCTCTTCCCCTTCATTTTCCAAACTTCAGATGATTATATGTACGTTCTTCAAACATTTTTGTAATCTCGGACTCCCTCGAATCATCATCTTCTATCTGAAAATGCCTGCTTAGTTTTCTGAATTCGTTTTGTCCAAGGATTTAGGAGCTTCAATAGCAATCATTGGGGGGTTGGTCATGGGAGCACTAATTGCAACTGCAGGGGCAGCTGATGACAATTTGATGCTAGTTTCAGAAGCCCTTTGCAATTCCACCATGTTTGCTTCAATGTCTTGGTATTCTTTCACTGGTTCAGGAATGCTCTCTGTTTCTTTCTCTTGATATTCCTTGTATTTTCCCCACAGAACAGAGTATAGTCCAAACACAATCAAGATTGCCCCAAGCACTCTGTCATTTAACAATGCCAAAAAACAGAGGAATTCAGAACATTGGTCATCCAATTTTTTTTTTTTTCATAAATTTCATTCAGTTTGTGGTTAATTGACTAATAATTCAGAGGATTTCAGCTGATGAAAACTCACCCTCCAAGATAGATTTTCTCAGCTAAGATGAAAGATCCCATGATTGCAACAATGATCATCATCAGTGGACTGAAAGCTGTTACAAAAACAGGGCCTCTCTTATGCATCACTAGGCCTTGAACGTAGTATGCAATGCTTGATGAAACAATACCCTGAAAAATTAATTTTCATTGAGATGTTAGTGAAATGTTCGTACATTTTTTCCAACAAATTCAGTCCAGTTTTTAATTTTTCCGTTTATTAATAGATGACTTACAGCGTAAGCAGCGGCAAGAAGATTCATATCCCAACCAATAGTCCAAACAGAGGCTTTGTGTTCCATAACTAAAGTCACAGCAATTGATTGCAAAGTTCCCATGAAGCACACAAGAGATGTGAGTGAAAGTGGAGCACTGTATCGTCTCATTGTCACATTCTGTTGTTATTATACCAAAAAATAAATTAGTTCTCAACTTGATAAAAAAAAATAGTCCATTTTACTGAACTAAAAATAAATCGGATGTTCAAAAAATTACACACCTGCAGGATGAAGAAACCGGCCCAAGCGAGAGTGGCAAGGATGAGGAGAATGGAGCCCTTGAACCAATCCTTGTCGGTGGTTCCGGCGGCGGCAGGCTGGCCGGTTGTCGGAGAATGAACATGCTGAGACCAAACCAGGTTGATGACGTGGCCTTTGTACAGTGTCATCAGCATGGCTCCAGCCACCGTGATTATAGTTCCGATCACCTTGGCTTGGCATCTTATCTTCTTTATGTACACTTTTTCCATCCCGCAGAGGACAGCCATGACGAACGTCATCGCCGGCAGCATGTTGCTCATGGCACAGGAGAAAGTTGGGGACGTGAACTTCAGCCCCGCGTAGTAGAAATTTTGATCGATCACCGGCCTGAACCAGAACAAATTCATCGACAAAATCATCAGTTTCACTCCAATAATAACCAGTTGAGAATCACTTTATTGTTAATTTTTATTTTCATTGTGTTAATTAGAGAGGTTGCACGTACCCAAGAAGTCCAAGCACAAATATTTGCATGAAAATTGAGAATGTGATCTTTGGCCTCACTTTCCTGCATGAATCAGAAGAAGCGATATGTGTATGAGATTAAGAGCCGTTGCAAGATCATGTGGTGTGTGGACAACGTTTTGATTTTTCGTTTCGCTCTACATTTAGTGTTTGTTTGATATGAGCGAAACGTAACATAATCGTAACAGATTAAAAGATTTATTGAGGAAGGTTTATTGAGAAAGTTTATCAAAAGACTAAAACGAGGTTTGAAATTTAACAAAATAAACACGATCAAGTGATGTATATATGTATGTTAGAGTACCTCTCAAGAAAAATTGCAAAAGGGGCAATAACAGCCGTGGCAAAGGCATGCCTATAAACCACAAGAACATAATGGCTCATCCCTCTATTGAGAGAGACTTTAGTGATGATATTCATCCCAGCGTAACCGAATTGCAACGAAATCATTGCAATGTAAGGCTTTGCACTTTGGTAAAAATTGCTGAGACGTGATCCTTTTCCTTCCATTTTCTTTCCTTCTTTTTGTGTGTGTGTTTTTTTTTCCCAATGAATATTAGGATATAGAAGTGATGATGATAGATTGGGAAATGATAGAAGAAGAAAAAGAAGATAGCTAAGCTAGGTTTTGAGCTTAGGAGGTTAAAAAGAAGAGGAAAACACTTGGAGAACTTTGTGTTTGTCCTAAGGAATTATGTTGAGGATCCTCCGTATTTATAATCTAACCTGAGGACCTCCCCCTCCCTATCCAAAAAAGAAAAAATTCCATTGAGTTTTGTTTAAGCGTGTGAGAATCTCATACCCTCGCACGTGAAAGATACGTCATAGTTTTTTGTTTTTTTGAATATTCCTTATTTATAATGTGGTTCCACGTGGCAACGATCGTGAAATTGATTATACTAAGTGGGACCTATATATATATATATTTTGAAAAAAAAAAATTATGTTCTTCTTTTTTGGGAGGTGTTTTATGAGTAGTGGTAGCCTCAACCAAACAAAAAACAAGTGAGTTTTTAGTGCATTGCTGATGCTAAATAAAAGGTGATTTTGGTGGCGGGTCCCAGATACTTGCTCAGCCCTACAGTTTACTATTACCTTTGCGTCATTTTAAAAAATGCGGCATTCCGACGCCTGAGACCTATCGGAAATGTAATCGGACGACTCCGAGTAGCAAAATTTAGTTAATCTAATTACATTAGTGTTTGCACTGATTCAAGTAAAAAGCATTTTTTCGTCATTCTTCAGATATTGAGCTCAAGTATTTTCGCTTTAATCTCAAGTTTAGGCATGTTTAAAGTCACATTAATATATTATCAAATGAAAACCAATTTCACCTGTTCCATTCCGTGATAATTATCACTGTCTTTATCCGATAAATGAAAATATAAGTTACAATCATTTTGTAACAGAAGACGTAATTTTATTCAATAGTTGAGTTTACATATGCAAGAGTGAATGAGAAATGCTGTCCTCATGTCCATACAAGTTATGATTCTCCCACTAATGTTAGGCTTCCTTCTTTTAGCCCTTTATCTTCCGGAAGCTTCTCTAATTAACTAGTTAAGATAGTACATGGTGGTTTGTGTTCAAAGCACAAAGAAACAATTTAGTATGACTATATAATTATTTTGAAAGACTTCAAACAGGTGAAAGTGAAATTTATTGAATCAAACTTATCAACATAAAATTAATGGAACGGAGTTAGAATCTTCTCGGTATGTACAGCTTAATTAGTATAATGTATGCTATTATCCTGCTTACATACACTTTAATATAAGTGTATGTATATTTTAGAAAGAGCAGAAAAGTAAGTTTTTCCTTGGGGTTCTTTTTTTTTTTTGTTAAAATGTGAATAGTTGTATTAAATGAAAATATAAAATGTATATTAAGATAGATATTATTACAATTAAAATTTCAGGAAAAACCGAAACATAATCTAAAGAAATGTAACGACACAGAGATGTCGTGAGAACAACATTCCAATTTTTTTTGGGTCCGTATTAAGATGTAGTACATGAAGACACCCCTCCTTTATTTTGCCTTCCTGAAAGATCGTTAATTAGTAATGTAACTCTAGCAATTTACCTAGACAAGAATTGTTTTTATCAGTATCTGTCAGAGAAACTAATTAACAATCTGCGTGGAAATAAAAACTTAAACGAAAAAACACAAAGGAAAAGAAAACCTTCTATAAGCAATTAGGTCATATCTACCTTGAGTCTTTATAGAAAAAGACACTGAGCATTGGTTAAAAGAAACGGATCGTCGAGTATTTCGTGGACATGCAAATACAATAACTGCACAGAAACAATGACCGAAGCTAGTTTGGAAACAAGTTTTTTTAGATCACTTTTGGTGTCGAAATTAGTGTCCGAAAACCCTAAATTCAAGTTAATTACGTCCTTTTTAGAAAACAAAGAACTGAATAAGGGGATTGTATAAACGTTATAGAGGTTCCAATTCATGTCCTTGTCTCCAATCCTTCTGCCAAATTAACCTCGTTGAGAAGCATTTCAATTTGAGAACACCAAAACCCGAATATTATGATCTACAAAACTGTTCACGTGGACATAATTTTACCAATATTGATTGGTTCAGTTTTTTTTTTTTTTTGGGTGGCTGATTCGGTTTCGTTTTTCTGATTCTTTCTTGTTACGTAAATGGGTTGTTATCGCAATAGACTACTTGAACGTGTAACATTTGCCAACATATGTGTAATGGTAGGATGCCACGATAAAAAAAAGTTTGAGATAATGCATCTCACATACATTGTACAAAATGAATGTCAAGGTGTATAATTGGGTTATTTTATTTTATTTTGTTTTTAGATTTACAACCATATGCATGCACAAAAAAAAAAAAAAAAAAAAAATCCGTTAGGTTACATTCTATTCCTAGATGGATAAGTTCACGTATAAGAATATCAAATCGTTTTCTGTAGCATTTTCGTGTAATCCTAACAGTATTAATATTTACTAATTTTTTAAATTCTTATCATTCATATTTACCAAAAGTGGACGAAAATTAGGAGCTAGGATCTAGTATGATATTCTACATTTCTACTTAATTGTCCGTCATCGTTGTCTTAGAATCTGTACTCCCATTAAGCTTTGTAGTGGGAATGAATAAGCAGCAGAAAAAAAAAAGAAAAGAAAAAGAAAATAAAAGTAATTGTTTGATACTTTGATTCCCTTCATTTCTTGTGCCTTTATATACTTCTTCTGATCGATCTTAGTGTCAAATTTATTTGATTCTGTATGTGACGTATTTGGCTCTGCAATATATACCTTATCAATCTGCGTCATTCGAATTCTTTTGTATATGCCAAATCTGAATATGTGTGAGATTCCTTAGCACCTAACAAACAGGAACTGATTGATTTCTCACAAGGAAAAAAAAAGTGATGATGCCCGAATTGTTTCGTTTTTTCACAACAAGGATAAGATGGAATTTCAACTCACGGAAAAAGAGATATAAAACCAACCAAAAAAAAAAAAAAATTGGTTAAGTGACAGGAACTCATTCACCGTTAATTCTAAGTCGGGACAGGGTTCAAATTTAATTTTTTTTGGGTTGATTTTACGACAAATCAAGATAATTATGATTCAATGCATTTGTAAATATGTAAAAAGAAAATAAAAAGAAAGTGAGAGATTTGATACCAACAATTAAATTCTTAGAATCGAACATTCGGCGAAGTTTTTATTGTATAGCAAGAGTGACGGATCATCGTGCCAATATTGTATGAGAAGAGAAAGGCTACAAAATAAAGGTTATTCTTCCATGTGTAGCACATGATTACAAGTTGTAAAGTAAACGAACAAAGTAAATTAACTTCTTCAATTTTATTTTTTATTTTTTACATAATGGATTTTAAATAAGATGATCTAATATGAGTCATATAAAATGTCAACTTTTCAATGAAAATTGTGTTTTTCACGTATAAAAGATAATAATGTTTTTTAGAAAAAGGTACAAAGTTGAATATTTGATATCGTACTCATTGACTCATGAGTATAGCATTTGATGATACTCTCTCCATTTTAATATAATTGCCATGTTCCAATATTTACTATAGTGAGCAGAGCAATCCTCTACCCTACCACACAGGTACCGCGACAACCTTTGCCAACATCATTTAAAAGTGTGTAAGGAAACTATTGCCTTCTTTATTTGGATTTTTCTCTAAAATCCTTTGAGAAGTAACAAGCAGTATTTGTCAAAGGTCACAATGATCTGAGGGATTACTGAACCTTGCATGTAGGAAAAATTCTCCAAGGATTGCTTGAATTTATATAAGAATTGAAATATCAGTTTGTCCTTGTTTGGAGGTCTTCTATTTATTGCCTTAATTGGCAGATTATCCTGTGTTTCATGTTTCTATACTTGTCTTAAATGGAAAATTAGTGTGGTTTTGTCCCAAATTTGAGGTCTAACCAATGAACCTGCTCAAAACTTTAAATTTTAAGTAATTAAGTTGATTTTTCATCTCAAGAATTTTTAAATTAATGTATTTATAGTCGAACAATTGATCATTTAAGAATATCTTTATTATATTTACATTTTAATGCCACATCTAAAATGTTTATGACATTTCACACAACTATATCACCGGCAAAAAGAATTGACAAAAAACAACACTAATCCATGCACAGTTATGTCCTAAAATGAAATTTAATTTATTAAAGTTAAAATAATATCGCAAACTTGATACTTATTTTAGGGTCCAGGGAGCGCTATTTCTGAAAAGATAATGACTTGTGAAGGAAAATCTCGTTAGAAATCTTAAGAGTGAATGAGTCATAATCCTCTATATTTGTATCTTATCTTTATGGGTTTTTCTATTGAAGATAAGGAATAATTAAAATTCAACCACATCATTTCTTGTAAAATTTCTTATCAAAATTTCAAAATTTCCATGGATGTGAATCGACATTTATCAATAAAACAAAAAATACTATAGAATCAAGTAAATATCAACATGGATAGGATTATTGGATATATATGCAGAATGATCGACATGATCGTTAGAAATCATCATACCTAATCATTGCAAAAGAGTTTTGATGTCAGCAGTCAGCTAGCCTACAAACTCAATATTTATGAAATTATGGTTTAATTATTAAACCTATAAAACACAAAAACCATAGCGACCCATTTATTTAAATGTGCAACTAGGATTTGGCATTTTGCCAAATGACAGGAAAGACATGTAATGATAGTGTAAACATATTGGCCAATGAAAAATTTGAGGCCCTAGCCCCTATGTGGTTTAAGTTCTTTTTTTTTTTTTTTATTTCTAATCAATAAAATATAGTATTAGTAAGAGATGGAAGGAGTAGAATTATACCTTTCAATGTTTAATGAGATTTTTGTTGTTGATTTAAAATGTTAATAAAAACATAATAAAAATTTAGATACTAAACGCATACTATGAATAACCAAGAAATAAAATGCGGCATCGTGAGAGCTATGTGCCTATTTTATTATTTTTAAAAAAAGTTTTTCGCATCATTTAATATTTTTAATGTGAATTTTTACATTCTAAATAAAAAAAATCCGAAAAATTACTATTCACAAGAATATATGTATCTACTAAAAGTATATAGATAGTTGGCTTCGTCATGGAATGAAGGCCATATTTTGCTTAATCTTGTCCCTCAAAAGCAAAATAAATA